ATTGTATAAAATATCCTCTTACAAAAGCTTTACGTACATCCCAAACTATTCTTACTTCTGTACCTTTATTAAGATTATTCCCAAAAAACTATTTTATCTTCTTCTTGCAACATCTTTTTACCATTTCCTTTTGTAGCAACATCTCATTCGATCTCCACTTTAAAGAGTCATTTTTCCTTTTAAAAGGTAGAGTCACTGGATTGTGATCTGAACATGTCCTCGGTAATGTCTCCACTTTATGAACATTAATAGCCAAAGTCTTAGAAATCCAAATCATATCTATTCTTGAAAAAGATCTAAAAAATAAAGAAAAATAACTATATTTTTTGAGTCACTATTTTACATTAATAGCCAAAGTCTTAGAAATCCAAATCATATCTATTCTTGAAAAAGATCTAAAAAATAAAGAAAAATAACTATATTTTTTGAGTCACTATTTTTATATCTCCATGCATCAATAAGCTCCAAATTATCCATTAAATTTTTAAAAATCCTTTGTAGTTTACCTTATGTATTTTTAATATTTTTCTCAGAAGTTCTGTCTTTTTGTGGGGAAACCACTCCATTCCAATCTCCCAGGAGACACCAATTTTCATACGGGAAATCCAATAATTTGTCTATAAGTCCTTTATAAAATGCTGTTCTATCTTCATTTGGGGCATAAATTCCAAATATCAAAGTCTTTGCCCCCTGTAAATTAACTTCCACCCCAACATACTCTAGTATTCTAGCTGGAATTTCCTTAACTACAATTATATCTATATTATCAATTCTCAATCTAGTATTAAAATGCTGCTGCAAAACTTGATCTCTAGTCTTCCTCCTGACAAAGTGCACAAGGACATCCCTTGGAACATTTCTTAATTTTGAAAATTGTGTATTAATCCTACAAACCTTATCAATCTCTGCCTCAGTGTCATCTTCCTCCCAATCTTGGAAATTAGACAGAGATGTAATAATCTTTTCTCTGCTATCTTCTCCACGTTGTTTTGGAATTGCTCTAAATCTTAAACAAAATTATTTTTCTCTCAGTTCTAGTAATGCCAAGTTGTCTAAATCTTTCTCCATCTTTCTATTTATAACTTCTGCCATACTTTCCAAAACTTCCACTTTGTTAGTAATTTGCTTTAGATCTCCAGCCAATTGTCTACAGACTCTTCAATCTTCTTAACTTTTTCTTTCATATCTTTTTTTATTCCTGCAAATCCTTCTTCCATTTCCTTTTTAAAAGGATCCAAACTATTGGCAACCATTGCAGTCATGTTCTTGCCAAATTCCTCAAATATTTTCTGCAATAAATCTGGTGAAATGCCCTTATCTGTAAGTTGTTCTAATGAACCTCTCCTTCCTTCTCCTAATCTTGCAGCTTTTCTTGTAGTTGCCGTTATGGAAAAGTGAAAGTATGTCA